AAAGAGATATAATTGAATAGATAATGAATATATTTTGACCAAATGAACGGGAAAGTAAAAGAGATTAATAGACAATCTCTTTCGTTAGGAAAAAACTAAAAAAAGAAAGAAATCTAAAAGAAGAATCAAAGAAATAGTAAGAAGGAATAGTAAAAAAAACAAAAGAAAAGGAGAATAAACAATTATAACGTTCATCTAACAATGAGTAAAAGAAAAAGAAAAATAGAAAGATAAAAATAGAAAAAGAAAGAAGGGTATTTTAAGACACATCAAAAAACTAAGAAAAACAAGAATGATGCAACTTAAGATGAAAGGTTTAAAATTCCCATGTCCTCTTCATGTCCTTATTGATGGTCCTGTTGAACAGAGTGAAACTAAAATGATGTTTGAAATGGTTTGTAAACAAGAATTATATGATAAAATAATTCATTCAGTTTGGTTATACTTAGAAAGTGGAAGAACAGCTGTAGAAGAAACATTAAAGAATCATGAATTCTTAAATATTTTAAATAAGAATATATTAATTGAATCATCATCATTAGAAAGTACAATAGGAGTATTATCAATTTTAACAAGAAATGATCCTGTTACATTTCTTTTAATGGGAAGTTATAAATTAATAATCAAATTATTTCAGTACAGATTAAAAAATTCAGTATATATGATGGCATTAGACTGTTTATATTCTTTAATATCAACTCATTCTTCTGAATTGATATTAAAATTACTTGAAGAAAATGATTTATTATTTATTATTCTTAATGGTATTTCTAAAGAAAATGATAAAGAAGAAAATGAATTATGTGCTGCTATGCTTAAAATTTCTTTAAGTTGTGAAGGAGTTAGAAGAAAATTATCAAAAGACTTACATTATCTAAATAATTTTTTAGCCCATTTAAATTATATTTATCAAAGTATATTAGTTGATATGAATAATCATATTTTATTAATTTGTCTTTGTGAATGTATTGAATACCTCACTTGGGACTCATCTATTAAATTTATTATAGAGTCTTATTATAGTGGTTTATTACAGTAGAATAATTATTTATCATTTGTATATTGCTATTTTCATCTTTTATTCATTTATTTTTATTATGTTATTTTTATTTTAAGTTCTTTCCCCTAATTTTTCTTAATAGTAGGTTTCTTTTGTTTTTAAACTTTTTTTTTCATTTAAATTATAGCATTAATTGAAACATGTATAATTCCTTTGTTATCCATGTATCCAGAATATGCAAGACATTTGATTCTCTTTAGTTCTTGATTGTATATATTCATTACGTTCAATCATAAAGAAGTCATATATTTTTTATTACTTCTGCTTAACGAGTAGTTGTTGGGTGTTGTTTGTTATGTTAATTGAAAATAACCTTTTCTGAAGTAATAGTTATATGTGATTCATTTCTTTTTTTTTGTTTTACCTAAAATATTCTTTTTGTGTTATTTTTGTTACTATTATTATTAATTAAAGAAAAGTATGAAACCCATAATTTTTAAAAATAAAAACAAAAATAATAAATTAGTAAATAAAAAATTTATTATAGAATTACCACTTTCATCTCTTCATTTAGGTGAATTAGATATAAAGGGATTCAAGAAAAAAAAGAGATAAAAAAGTATCATTTTCAAAACGAAATTGATATTCACTCTACAATCTCTAATATTTTATTTTTGTTTGGTTATTTCTAAAAATAAATAATAAAAAGCTATCAATGATTTACAGGTGGATAATAAATCAAATGAATATTTTTTAAGTGATTTAAATTGATATATCTAATCAAGTTATAAATGTCATATGTTATTAAATCAACAATATCAATTCTTGGTTTAATAAGACAATTTATCGTGATTGGATCAATCCCAAAAGCAATCATAATTTTTTGTAATGAAAGAGATGGTTTCATTTCACCTTTAAGAGATAATTTACGAAGAGTAGAATCACTAAAGTCTCTAAAAAATTCCCATTTTTGGCGAGGTAGAATATAATCAACTTTCCAATCACAATCTAGTCTATTCTTATATTTATTATAAATATTGATTAATTTTAAATATCTATAAGTATCTAAACTTATTTGATCAATATACTCTCCTCTTCCATATAATTCATATAAACTTTGAACATGTTTCCAATAATCGTTTACTCTATTAACACCATCTTTTTGTTCATGAGAATCTTTCATATCTATTTTACATAATTCAACAATTTGCTTAAATAACCACATTTGATTTTGGTCATTAATACAACTAAATGCCATATCTTTTCTTGATACATTAATTGTTATTCCTTTTTTTATATAAATTACACAATTTGTTGTAAGAAGAAAACAATATAAATCATATGTTGAATTACTAAATATCATTTTAAATGGTTTTGTAACAACGTTATTCATTACAGTCATTAAATATTCATTTGTCATAGCATCTTCTTTATTAAACTGAATTAAAATCAAATTACCATTACCTTCACATAATTTTGAAAAACAAATATTTTTTAAATAAATTTCACCTGAATATGAACGTATTTTTGGTGGAAGAAAAGTAATAGAGGAAGGTGTTATTTGTACACAAAATATTTTTTTAGTAAAATCAATTGAAGAATCCTTTTTAGATGGAATTAATTTCATAATATCAAAAGCACGATGATATTTATTTGTTTCAATAGTATTTAATAAGAATCTAAAATGAAGATTATATTCATTAAATGAATATTTGTTTATTTCATCAATAAATTCTTGTGTAATTTGATTTGGAACAATAATATTTTCTTGTAATAGTTTTTCAATCATCCACTCCCATCCAAATTCAAATGATTTTGGAATAACATACTCTTTCATTTTCAATAATTTTGAAAATGATTGTTCATTAGATATTTTAAGGTCAGATTGAGAGATTGAACATTGTCTAATTACTTCATGAATATTTTTCCATGAACTTGGATGAAGAGAAATACAAATAACTTGTAGTCTTGAAGATTCAAATGATTCCCAACAAGGAAGGATAGTATGTTGAAAATAATTTTCAATTCTCATTTGGTCATGAGTTAAATGCATAGGAGAAGTTTTTCTTAAGAAAGGAATTGACCCTTTAAATGAAATATAAACATCAATGAATTTTTCTCTTTTAGAACAAAAGATATGATTACAATTATTTTGATTAATTTCTATCATTTCTCCATATATTTCATCATAAAAAAATAATCCCATTTCACTTTTATTTTGTAATTTTACAACAAGATGTCCAAATGGTTTAAAAGAATCTAATGGCTTTTCTAATTTTTCAACATTTATTGATTTATAACTTTGAAATATTCTTGTTGTTTCCCATTGTCCAAATTGTATAGCATAAACACAAAATTCAAATACAAAAAAACTTTGGTGCATTGGAAGAAATGGTTCTTCAAATAATTTTTCTATACGAATATAATTAATAGCTCTAAGTCTTTTATACTGAATAACTGAAAGAGTTCTTTCCTTTCTTCTTTCAATTGTATCATTTTCTTCACTTTGTTCATTTTCAATTGTATTATTTTCATTATCTTCTTCTTTTAATACATTTTCATTATCTTCTTCTTTTAATGTTTCTTCTTTGGTTGAATGAAGAAGTTTTTCTTTTTCTTTTATATAGTCACCAGTTAATTCCTCTTGACTTTCATCAGAAATTTTATTGTTATTATCTTGTTCATCTTCAATGCTAATTTCCATTTCTTTAACTTCTTGTTGTAATACTTCATTTTTATATTCTGCTATCATTTGTCTAAACTCTGGACAAACCTGATGAATGTATTGAAGATCAAAAGTTATTCTCATTGTCACTTTATTTTCTTTGTCTTTCAATTTTTGCATTCCATTCTTCATAACTTGTCCATTCATGAAAAGTTCAATCTCAGTTATCTTTTTACTCTTCTTTAATTCTCCAATTTTATTCCATTTTATGTCATATACTTGTTGAAAATATTTATTGAACACTTGACGTTGTCTACTAACAGAGTAATCCACAGGAAAAAATCCTTCTCTTTCACATTGAATATTAATTTCTTTAACTTCTTCTTCTTCAAATGACATAATTTGTTAAATAATTATTTCTTTTTTAAACTATATTTTTATTTTAATTTTACTATTTTTTATAGTTTCTTCTCAAAAGTTATTCTTTTATAATAAAAAACTATACTTTTAGAATTTATAAAACTATTTAAACTGAAAAAAAAAGGAACAAAAAATAAACACAATTCTATTTCATATTACTTTATTTTGAAGATAATAATTTCGGGAATTGTTATAACAAAATTCATAGTTGTTCAAAGATATTGTTTTATAATAATATCTTTTAAGACTAAGTACAATTAATTATTTTTTATAAATATTTTGGTATTAAAAAAGATTTTTGAAAAACAAAAAAGGGTTAATATTTGTTTTAAGGAATTTTTTTATATTAATTTTGTTTTAGTATTGAATTATAATTGAAATTAGAAATATTAAGTGATTTTATTATAATATTCATTTAGTAATTTTGATATTGTTAATAAATCTTGTAAGAGAGTATTTGTATTATTCATATCGAAATGATTTAGTCACTTTTCATTCTCATTATCAAAACAATAGAAAATTTGATGAATATGTAAATGAGACTAATGCCATTAAAAGATAACAAAATACCAACAATAATGGAAGTGTTTTTTTTTTTGTGAATTTTTGTAGTAAATTTAAAAAACATGAAATAACAAACATTTGTAATAAAAAGGATTAAGATATTTTTTATAGATATAGTACTATTTGTCATAATAACAATAATATTAATGAAAGAATAAAAAGAATAATGAAAAGAACTAAAAAAATGAAATCAATAAAATTGATGAGTGACTATGAAATACTAAAAATGTTAATTTTAAAAAGAAATGAAGAGAATGAAATAAGGATGTTTGTAAACAACTCTTAAAATGAAAAAAAAATAAAAATAATGAAGGTAGAAAATACTATAATCAATTAAAGGAAAAAAATGTTATGATAGAGCAGTTGAAAAAAGAAATTGAAGAAACAAAGAAAGACAATGTTGATGCACCACTACATACTAACGAAGAAAAGTTAATGGAATTGGAGGAACAAACAAACAAACTCCAAAATATGCATGACATAATTCAAAAAAGAAACGAAGAACTCGAGAAAGAAAACACTGAAATGAGAAGAATAATAGATGAACTTAACTTAAAAGAAGAAAATGACAAAAAGTTTAAAGAAGAAATTATTCAAAAAGATAAAGAAATTGAAGAAATGAAACAGAAAAATAAAGAGATAGAAGATATGATTAATGACAAGAAGGAAAAGACAAAAAGAATGGAAGAGGAAATTAACAAAATGAAAGGAATAATTGAAAAAAAAGAAATTGAAGAGAAAACATTCAAAAGAATGAAAGAAGAAACAGAAAAGAAAATAAAAGAAGAAGTTAGTCAAAAAGAAAAAAGGATAAATGAATTAGAAAGAAAAATAGAAATATTTCAAATAGAAAACATTGAACTTGTTCAACGAAGACTAAAAGAAAAGAGGGAAATAATATGGATGAATCAAATTGTTCCAAAGAAAGAAATAAAAACAACAGAAAAGGAAGAAGAAACAAGCAAGTATAAAGCAGAAATAACAGAAGTAAGATTTATTCAATCAGTTATTCCATTTAAAGTTATTGAAAGAAAAGAAAGAGAAGATGTAGATATTATCGGAATGAAAGGAATGAATTTGGTAGTTGAAAATAGAAAAGAATTCAAAATTATTGAAAGAAATGGGGAAGAAAATGAAAGGATTAGTATTGAAAAGCTTAATGGACAATATATTTGTAGTTGTTTAAGTTTAGAACAGAAAGAAATAATGTTTTGTATGAAAGAAGGTATTTATTCAAAAATTTATTTCTGTGACTTGAATAAAAAAGAAATTGAAAGCACAAACTGTTCATCTCCCGGAAGAATTATTTCTTGTACTCCATTAGATGAATATAATTATATTTTTGTTGAACAAAACAGTTATACTATTGTTAATGCCATTAAAAAAAACTTAACAACTTCTATTTCATATACTGCAAATAACATTATTAAATTAGTTACTTATAATGGAACCATCTATTATATTTCTGAAATAAATGATTCACAAAAATTAGTTATTGTAAAAGGTTCAAATAAAACAATTATATCCTTAGACAAAAATATTATTTCAATGGATGTAGGATATCAATGTTTATTCCTTATTGCAACATCATCATTATATTGTTTTGATATAAACACAAAACAATTCGTTAATGAATTGTCATTAACAGATTTTAAATCTCCAAGTATTATTGCTACATCTCATAACCATAGAGTGGTTGCTATCGGGTGTTGTAATGATGTTATAGTATTTTGGGATGCATGTATCATGGATGCAACTAAGTCAGTTAAACTATTTACTTTAGACCCTCTTCTTGTCAATTCAAAACGACCAGAAATAACAAAAATCCTTTGGAATGAACAAGGAGATGCATGCTCTGTTTCTTGTGGGTTCCAAATCTTTATTGCATCCAACGACAATTAAGTGTTTTATTACTGATTTATTTTTAAGGAAATTTCCAAAAATTCATTTAATGTATTTGTTTTTTAAAGTAATGTTCTTGTAGTATTTCATATATCATCATTTTTCATGTTGAAAATCCTGACACATGAAAACCGAGCAATAATAAAGGAATATAAAATAAAATATCTTATTTTACAATTGACTTATAATAACTTATTACTAAAAATTTAATTTTATTTGAATCTAAAAGATTTACAAATAATATTTAATACTTCATGTAACTTGAAGAAACTTCTTGTATTTGTTTTGGTACATCAAATAAGTATCAAATTATATAGCATAGCTTTCTCATTTTTCTTTTTTGTGTTATTTGTTATATTTTTGACTTTGAGTTATTATTTGTTGATTAAAGAAGTTGTTCAATGTTTTGATACTTATCTATATTATAAACAAAATTTTTGGTGTGAATTAAATTATTTAATGTATGCATATTTTATTATTTATTTAAATCTTCTGTTTAAAGTTAATAACATAAACAAGTTGTTATAAATACTACAAAGTTATCAAGTATTTTATTTTTTATGATAACTAGTATTGTTTTATTTTCATTAAACATAATTTTTCCTATCATCATTTTTTAATGACTGTATTCTTTATATATTCTTTTGAATATATCATTTATTTCATTTGTTCTTCTATTTTATAATTTTTTTAATATTTAATGTTTTGTTTGATTGACATTTTATCAGTGTATTTTTGTTTAGTACTATGTAAAGAAATAAATAAAAGAAAAACAGAAAACAATATCATTATATCTTTGATTATTTTGACTAACATTTTCAACATATACAATGCATATAACATTGATATTAGTTGTATTTTGAATTAAGGTAATGTTTAGATTTAAAACTTTATTACCAAATGGTAACCAATAATAAATTATAGTTAGTTTTTATTTCGTGAGTCAAGCCATTTATCTGTGTTTGAATTAAATAATTATAATACATAAAATATTTTTATCTAATTTGTATTTTATTTGTTTTTGATTATCTATCATTTAAATTATTTAAATTATTATATTTTGATATGTTTATATATTTTCTTATTTTATTTATTCTTTTGATATATTCTTCATAATTTATTGATATTTTATTCTTCATTATTTATTAAATTAATATATTGTGTTTATTTGATATTTTATTCTTCATTTATTCTTCATTTTTCAAAGTATTATAATGAATTGTTATTTTATAATTCATAAATTTTATTTTGTCATTTTATATTCTTTCTATTATTATTATTTCATTTTTATATTGAATGTATTGTAATTATTGTAATGAAATATATGTTTTTATTGATAGTAATTCATTTCATATTCATCATTTAAATATAATCATTGTGAATTTTGGTATTTCTTTTTAATTTCATTTTCAATTATGTATTTTCTATTTATCATTCGATTTTATTTAATTATTGAATTAAAAATATGATAATTCAATTAATTTATCTTAATTGTGGCATGATTTGTATATTATCCATTTAATTAGTGTTTTATTCTTTCTGTTTTTTATTTTCATTCATTCATAACTATTTATATTTATTTCCATTTTAAATAGTTGATATTTATTCATTGTATTCATGATATTTTATTCACATGAACAGCAACTCCACTTTTGTAATTTCATGAAAATAAACAAAAAGATAGAAGTGACATTAAGAAAGAAATAAAAAGAAATGATAAATAACAAATAAATGAATATAAATAAATGAATAGAATGAAAACGCATAGATGATAGAAAGAAAGAAATGAATAAATTGAAAAGAAAAATAAGAACTTAATAATAAATATGAGATTTAATAAAATAGTAAAAAGAAAAACTAAAAAATAACAAAAATGAGAATAACACAATCAATATTAAATAACAAATCAAAAGACAAAACAAAAGAAATAATCAAACAAATAGAAGAATGGACAGAAAAAAGAATATCAAATATACTATTTGATTCAGATAAAGATGATTGGAATAAAAATACATCAGTATTTGATCAAAGAATAAAGAATAAAGAACATATAATAATTATTATTGAAGATACAAAAGGAAATAAATTTGGAGGATATGTTAATTCTAAAATTGATAAAGTTGATGATTATATATATGATTCAAAATCATTTGTGTTTTCATTAGAGTCAAATGAAAGAAATGGTAAAATGATGAAATTTGATATTAAACAAACACAAAGTGCATTTTCTTTATTTAGTCAATCAGATATTCATTTGTTTGCATTTGGACTAGATGATATTCTTGTTTATAAAGAAAGTATTAAAGCAATGTCATCTTGTTGTCAATATTCATTTGAATATGAAGGAATACCAAATGCACTTTGTGGAAATCAACGTTTCACACCAAAACGAATCATAGTAATTGAAATGAAATGATTCAATCTTGATTAATTGAAAATGAACTAAAAAAGAATAAAAACAAATCAATGAAGAATATGAACAACCATTTCATTCATCTGCCAATGAATGAAATGGTGAATTAAAAATGGAGATAATTCAATGTTGATTTATTTTATTTCATTGAATTATTTCATTATGAATCAAATGAATAAGATAATAGAAATAAGAATAAACAAATAAATAAATGATAAAATACATCAACATATTTATGTTATTATTATTCTTTATTCATTCTTATTTTCTATTTAAACAATAATAATCAAAACATAATAAGAAAGATAAATAAGAATAACACAACATAAAATAAATAATAATAATAAAATATACAACAAACAAGAATAAACAAGAAATAACAAATGATAAAAGATGAACTAAATAAAATAACAACAAGAATAAAGGAAATTGAATAAAAAGGAAATTGAATAAATTGAGTGATTACTAGAAAAGAGGAAATGACAAAAAGAAGAAATGAATGATGAATATAAAAGATAAAAATAAAATAATAAATATAAAATCAAAACTAAAATAACATAATAATATAATAACCATATCATTGATTTTATCTTATTTTATTCTTATTTTATTTATCTTCTTTCATTATTTTTATTCTTCTATTTTATTAAATGAAAATGAATGAGAAATGAATAATGAAAATCAGAAACAACACAAACATTAATACAAAATCAAATAATGAAATATCAAATAATAATTGAATATGATGAAGTAATTTAATAAGAAATATAATAAATAATAACAGAAAGAATGAAATAAAATAATAAGAAATAATAATAAGAAAAGAAAATGATATAAATGATATTAATAATAAATGAAATTATACATAATAATATAATAATGAATTATTCATTCATAAAATAAGAAATAAATAAATGATAATTCAATGAGAATAATTAAAATGATGAAAATTAAAAAGAATAAAATTAATTCAATTTAAATAAAAAAATGAATAATAGAAAATCAACATTCTCATTAATGAAAAAATAAATAATAAAAGAAGAATAAACAATATTAAAGTATAAAGAAATGATTATTCACATGTGAATAAAGAATGATAAATAATATCATTTATTTATCTTATTTTTATTTATTCATTGTATTTTATTTTATTTATCTTTATTTTTATCAATTATTTTTATCTTTCATTTTTTATTATTTATTCACTTCTCTGTTATTTCTTTCTTATATATTATTACTTATTTATTAAATACTTATTTATTTTATTTTTATTATAATTCTATTATTTTTATATTTAATATAAAATTTGATTTATTCGATGTTGATTTGTTTTAATTTCTCAATGGAAATATTATTATCAATATTAACTACTCTTAAACATTTTTCACTCATGACCATTTGTTAATTCAACAAAATAACAATACGAAAAGTAAATAAATGATAATAAAATTAAATTTACATTAAGCATTAAATAAGTAGAATAATAGGCATTTGTAAAATGAACGAAGTAATGTGTTAATATTACATTTATTTAAATGATTGAGTTAAAATATTAAAATATAATAAATATAACAGACAGAAAATAAAAATATTTTTAATTTTAAAATGAAGAAGATTGATTTTAATGATAATCAAAATTACGATAGTAAAATATAAATAAGAAATAAATGATAATTGAGTAGAAGTGATATATTTATTACAAACATACATTGAATGAAAGAATAAAAGGTATAAAATAAAATGAAATGGTAAAAGAAGTAAATAACATTTTAAAATGGATTAATATGAAAAATATGAATATTGGTAAAATTTTCTTTTTGTTTATTGAAAATAAAATAAAAGTATCATTATTTTGAAATAAAATAATTAGTACATTATTCATATTTCATTATTTTATTTTTATTATTTAATGATGTTATCATTATTCATTACAATTAACAACTCATTAATAACCAAAAATATAATCATTGTGACTAAATACAAAACAAATAATTGTTTAATGGATATAAAAATTATAATAATAAATATATTTCAAAAATTATGTAAAATTATTTATTCATTTTTTTCAATCATAACATTACATATTTATTTATTTTTATTATGATGATGTTTGTATTTCAAACCATTAATCAAAATAACATGTCATATTAAATTAACGATAAATTTATTCATTTATTTTTAAATATTTTCTATTTCTTTTATTTCAAAAATATATTTTTATGTAAAAATTAAATAAAAACAATAATAATAGAAAATTATTTTATAATAAAATAATTAAAATAATGGTTATGTAACATTCGATAAAATATTTTATTTTTAAAGTTATTTTGTTGTTTTTTTTTTCGTTTAAACAAAATATAATGCGATGAAAATTTTTAAAAGTGAAGAAATGAAGTAAATTCTTTCAAATAAATATATATTTTTTTTAAATAAACATCATTTTCAAATTGATAAACAAATAATTGTCATCCTTAGTCAGTATTTAAACAACTAAATATCTAAAAACAATCAATGAGTATTAAACAAACTAAATTACTTATCCTTGGAAGTACAGGTGATGGAAAAAGTACTCTTGGTAATTTCATTT